TTTATATCACCCCTGCGCCCACCCCGCAGCAGACAACTGACCGGCTCTGATGGCGACCTGATATTGAGTGAGGTCGACGGTTTAGCGTTTTTCCCCACTATAAACAACCAGAAGCGTTTGAAGATATCACAATGCGCTAAAGGCCGTCCTTGGAGGGTTGCCAACTGACGGGATGATTCGGGACGCGCGGTCAGCCCCATGTGCGCTTGTGTGGAGTGACTGACTGGCGGACTGAGTCAGGCTGCAATGGTTCCTTATTAATGTGGCCTTCATGGCATTCCCACTCAGCTGGAATCCGAGCCGCCCCCGACTTTGATGTGGGTTTTTGTATATGAGCCTGTGTTCTCTTCCATCTCCGGTCTTCTTGATTTGTCTTAAGACTGGGCCCAAGCGGAAGAGCGGAAGGGTGATTTAGATACAGCGAAAGTCGTGGTCACTGCACCACCCTGCTGTGGAGCATACGGTGGGCATCGTCAAAATCGACGGTCGAACTGTAATATTACCCTATAGCTCTTGTGTTTAGTGGCCCATGTTGCATCGCTCAGGGGTTGGTGTATTCAAGTGGCGCGTGAGCGGTTGTGACCGCAGTTGTGTGTGTACTGCAGTCAGGGTATCCATAACCGCTAACTGGGAAGGTGAATAACCTTGATGCTGCGGGACGTGGAGCGAAAATGCCGTGCACAGCAACTATGTCTGTTTGCAACAAGAAGTGCGGGCCTGCAAAGTTATATTCGGATTTCATCATTGAAATGCCAGTCAAATGATATAAACGTACGGAACCACTGTAAACACAGCCACACATCCTTCGTTCAATTTCATAGGCTATGCGACCCAAAGTAGATCGTTGCAATGCGTGGCGGCACGCGCTTACTTGTCTTAAGTTGAGTCTAAATGGTAAGGAATCGCACAATGACACTTGATTGGAATCGGAAAACAACATGTTATTTCACGAAGTAGACAAAATTGCTGCTGGAGCGAATGGTCCGGATTCGTCTGCAGGATTTTGGGGCCTACTGGTAGCCATCACAATAATCGTGACAATTAATATTTTGTCTTTTGTTGATCTCACTTATTTTGAATAAACTTATCAGCGGAATTTCATTTACTATGTCTTAACTGGCATAAAGTTACCCTCTAGTACATAGTGATCGGCCGTCCTAAACGAAAAAAAGTGCATGCGTAGACCGATTGTCAATGTCTGCTAAGAAAACCTCACATTCACGTTTATATCCGGTTCAGTTCGTCCAGGCATACATGTTTGTACTAGTACAAATCCAAAAATGGGTTAGAAAGTGCAGGGAACTGAATAAATGTTTCCAAGCACAGCAGACTCATATGAAGCTACCACTTCTCCGTGCTCTAGATTTTGCAGTTCTCCTTTCTGTTTATGCTGTGTGCTCGGCCACGGTCTCCAGTTTCCAACTGCCCCTTCGACGAACGTCAAGCTCCAGTAACTGTCGTATCCGAATTCCTCATGAACACTTTGCAAAGAAGTCACTTATTGTTTACTGCGAGTTTTTGTATTGACACGATGCGCGCCACCGATTGTCGCATTCCTATTCGTTCTCCATTGCCGTTTTAAATTATCGATTTTTTTCCTCTGCACGCCAGTCCGTGTTGTGGTGTCTGACATCCGTTGCCCTAACGTTCTCCTGACGGATGGATTCGAAATTTGCTGGTGGCACTGTGCTCGCCCATTTTCTCATTGATGAGACCGGGCCGCGGTGTGGAGACTTTACCTTCAACGAGGGAGATTTACTTCTTCTCTGTTCTCGTGAGATAAACCTCAATGAACAACCAGCTCAAATGATGGTCAGTCACCCAAAAATCCCCGGATTATCATGGGTGATTTTCTTTTATCAAACGGGACCTAATCAGTACCAACCGAGAATCGCATATGACTTTCCCAGCTATCTGCGTGGTGACTGTGAAGTTTGTATCCAGTTTGCCGGGATGCACTGGCTTGTGAAGCACAAATTTGAGGGCAGTTCCTGGTTGACCACTTCTTTGGCGCCGAAAGTTATGAATGAAAGATGGGTAACTCTGGGAACTGTGAAGAAGGTGGAAGTTCGGATTAATATAACCAAAATTTGGTTCAAATTTCCCCTATTCACAGCATGCTGTCATCCACTGAAAACTAAGAAATTCGTGCGTCAGCCTGACTTCACAATGCCGGACCATTTTGCAGACGTGCAGCTTGTGCCAGCGGATCCGAGCAACAGGCGCTTATTTGCTCACAAACAAGTCTTGGCCATGAACTCACCGTGGTTCTACGAACGCTTCCGTCATGCTACAACACTCAACACTGGGGACATCGGACCGATAGTTTCCCTTCCGTTCGACTACGACTGTGTATGGAATTTCCTGCGTTTTATCTATCCCAACAGCGACTTCATAATTGATGCGCAAAACGTTGAGTGTCTGATGGATATGGGCAAGGAATATCAGATGCCCAGAATTATTCGGAAGTGTGAGAAATTTTTGTACAAGCACATGGAATGCGGATCTGCCGTACTGGCCTATTATCTTGGTAGGAAGCACGAACTCAGCGCCCTACAGGATGCTGCTCTTCTTCACTTAGCCGAGTTTAATTCATCCCAGCTAAGGGCCCGTATCAATTTGGACATGAAAGGAAAGTCGGCGGACACCCAGGAAATACTACTGAATGACCTCTGTGTACGCCTCTCGGGAGCTCATAGTTAAAAGTTTGTGGAACAGTTTTGGCGCCCCTTACAATCTGCGAAATGTGGGCATGTTGTAGGTCTTGTTGTTACAGTAAAGGTGGATGTTAACGTTTCTGCTGTTCAAATTCAAAATGTCA